AAAAAATAATTACCTATTTTAAAATAATTTTTATAAATCGAGTATTCGCCCAAATGTTAGTAAAATTATCTTCTGTTATTTGATTTTTTAATTATTGATATAGTAAACTCAGTCAATAATGATGACACTATTTTTTTTCTATTTTTTGAGCATTTTGCACGTTTTTTCAGCCATGCAGAAACTCACACTAAATTCTCTCAAAAACAAGTTGAAAAATTGAGAGATAGTTTCGTTTTTTTAAATAATATTTTACTCAACAAGGTAAAAAAAATGCTAAAATGAGTCAAAAAGCATATTATTTTGTGCATTTCTGAGCGTTTTAGTATGTTTTTAGCCAAAAACAAAACAATTTTGCAAAATTTCGTTAAAAATAAACCGAAAGTTTATCAAATTTGGTCAAAACTAGTGTTATTTTTGCATTTTTAAAGTGTTTCAGAACGTTTTTAAAATACATTGAAATTTTTGCTAAAACTAACTGAAAAATTACGAAATCTAATTTTATTTTAGCATGTCTCCCACGATTTAGTTCGTTTTTGAACCAGAGACTCATTTATTTTGCAAGATATTTGTCAAAACGTGCTTAAAACCAACAAAAATAAATCTAAATTGATGTTATTTCGTTTGTTTCATTTGCTTTAGCTCTTTTTGAGTAAAATTTTGTCAAAAAAAATAACAAAATATGGTCGAAAATGTTGCTAATTGCAAAATTTTGCTAAAACAAACCAAAAAAACATGAAATTAAGTCATTATTGTTGCCTTTATCAAGTGTTTTAGCATGTTTTTTAAGTAAAAACGTTAATATCGGGTGACTGTAAATGATTGTCATTTTTTACCTCAAGTTGGTGTCAAATTTAAAATTTTAGTTTGGCAACCTTGACTTTCAAATTCAAACGTCAAGCGCTTTTATAGGCAATTGTCATTCATATACTGCTGATTTAGCCGTCTGATGTAATAAATTAGAAAGACTACGAAAAATTCAGTGTTGCCAATAGATTTTTGTCACAAACATTAATAATTACCCGGTATTTGATTAAAAACTAGCCAAAAAAGTATAGAATTTATACAGGGTGTTTAGGACTTGTTTTTATAATCTCAAAATTAATAAAAAAATATAAAACCCAAAAAACAAGTTGAGCATTTTTTAAAGAACTCGATGTGTTGAGGTCTAATTTTACACATGACACAACGATTATTTTCAATTGAATTTATTATGTACTCTTATTTTGACTCCTACATACAATAAAGTTGTATTTCACCATTAATTTATAAGTCCATAAAAATTCTTAATGTAGCACCAAAACTAGAAATCCACGTGATAGCTAATATTTTTCTCGTTAGTCATCTCGCAGACTCTTTACTTTCACAAATTACCTAACATTAGTCTTGAGACTTGACCTAAAGTGTCAAAATTTGTATACCAACAAAAGAGAAATTAAACAGTTTGGCATCTATTAAAAATACCCCGGATCGATCCCCCAGTTATGCCATTCATCCTTTGTTAGGATTCGTTGGATACGCACCTCTATTGACGCCACTTTGATAGGAAGAGGACGCGTGACCACAAAAACACTCAAACTGACCACAAAAACACTCAAACTGACCTCAAAAAACCGACAAGTACCTCCTCACAAACCACCAATTTTCCAACTTGGATAAAACTGTGCGAGGTTATCAAATTATTACATCGAAATATTTTAACACTGGTTGGTACGCAACACGCTTCGAACGCCACGCCTTAAACATCGCGGATTGGTGATAGTTCGTTGTTTTGCAACGGAGCGCCACTATACAATCCACAAGTGGGTGATTACAGAGTTCTGTATTTTTAGACAGCTTTTGAGTGTGCGAACCGAAAGGACAGGATGTCCCATACATAGACATTTCATAATTATCTCAAAAATTACAAAAATATTTTAAGACTGTCATAGTCTATTAATATGTGTAATTTTATAACAGTCTAATGCAAAGAATGATGCGATAATTCTGTTAACCTTTAATCACACAAAAACAGAATCCAGATTTGGTGAAAACTTTTTAAAAAATTCTAATTTCTGATGGTTTTTTAGAAACGTGACTGTAGTTTCAGCAGAAAAATTATCTTTTATAATTTGAATTTTTAATTTTTGATATAGTAAAATAATGACTAGTTTTTTTGTAATTTTTTGAGCATTTTGTCCGTTTTTTTAGGCACGCAAAAACTCAAATACGAAATTTTCTCAAAAACAACTTGAAAAATCGAGAGATAGTTTTGTTTTTCTAAATGTTATTTCACTCAACAAGGTAAAAAATCGCGAAAATGGGTCAAAAAGTACATTATTTTGTCCATTTCGGAGCGTTTTAGTATGTTTTTAGCCAAAACAAAACAATTTTGCAAAATTTCGTTAAAAATAAACCGAAAGTTTATCAAATTAGGCCAAAACTAGTGTTATTTTTGCATTTTTAGAGAGTTTCAGCACGTTTTTAAAATACATTCAAATTTTTACTAAAACTGACTGAAAAATTACGAAATTACCTATTTTAAAATAATTTTTATAAATCGAGTATTCGCCCAAATGTTAGTAAAATTATCTTCTGTTATTTGACTTTTTAATTATTGATATATGTAGTAAACTCAGTCAATAATGATGACACTATTTTTTTTGTACTTTTTTGAGCATTTTGCACGTTTTTTCAACCATGCAGAAACTCATACCAAATTTTCTCAAAAACAAGTTGAAAAATCGATAATGATATTTTACTCAATAAGGAAAAAAATTGCTAAAATGAGTCAAAAAGTATATTATTTTGTCCATTTCTGAGCGTTTTAGTATGTTTTTTAGCTAGAAACAGAACTATTTTGCAAAATTTCCTTAAAAACAAACAAAATTTATCAAATTAGGTCAAAACTAGTGTTATTTTTGCATTTTTAAAGTGTTTTAGACTAAAAAAATTACGCAATTAGATTGAAATTGATATCATTTTAGCAAGTCTCGCTCGATTTAGTTCGTTTTTTTTTATAAATCGAATATTAGCCCATGTTAGTAAAATTATCTTTTATAATTTGATTTTTTAATTTTTGATATAGTATATAGTATATACAGGGTGCGCCAGAACTCGCGCCCCAGAGAAAATTTTCAAGTAAGGTAAGATACCAGGAACATGAAAAAAATGTTTAAAAAATTCTCTGTCAAAAAAATTTGACATTTATTTTTTGACATTTGACATTTTTTATATCTATTTAATGATACTGATGATCTTGTATATGTTTTTTTACAATTATATAGTAAACGGACAAAAATTTTGCCAATAAAAGCCACAAATAACATTGAACAGAGTTACAATTTAGGATACAGCTTCCTTGTTTTCTTTTTTAATAGCCTATACTAAAAAAACTTGGAAAATTATTTTTCCAACAGAAATAAATTGAGTCAAAATGCAAACTTTAAATCTTCATAACTTAGAAATTTTTATAGATAAAATTTTTTTAACATTTTTTCCATGTTCCTGGTATCATACCTTATATGGCATTTTTCTCTGGGGCGCGAGTTTTGGCGCACCCTGTATATATATATAGTAGTATTGTATTTTTTGAGCATTATTACGTTTTTTTAGGCACGCAAAAACTCAAATACTAAATTTTCTCAAAAACAACTTGAAAAATCGAGAAATAGTTTTGTTTTTCTAAATGTTATTTCACTCAACAAGGTAAAAAATCAACAAGGGTCAAAAAGTACCATTATTTTGTTAATTTCTGATGTTTTTAGCCAGAAACAACTATTTTGCAAAAAATGGTTGAAAACACACCGAAAATTTGTCAAATTAAGCGAAAACTAGTCTTATTTAATATTTTTAGCGTGTTTCAGAATGTTTTTAAAATACATTCAAATTTTTGTTAAAACTGACTGAAAAACTACAAAATTAGATTAAAAATTTATATCATTTTAGCGTATCTCGCTCGATTTAGTTCGTTTTTGAACCAGAGACTCATGTATTTTGCAAGATATTTGTCAAAACATACTTAAACACAACAAAAATAAATCTAAATTGATGTTATTTCGTTTGTTTCATTCGATTTACCTCTTTTTGAGTAAAATTTTGTTAAAAAAATAGGCCGAAAAATACAAAATATGATTGAAAATGGTGTTAATTGCTAAAACAAATCAAAAAACATCAAATTAAGTCATTATTTTTGTCTTTATCCAATGTTTTAGCATGTTTTTCAAATAACCTCAAGTTGGTGTCAAATTTAAAATCTTAGTTTGGCAACCTTGACTTTCAGATTCAAACGTCAAGCTTTTATAGACAATTGTCATTTATTTACGACGAGCGACTGCTGATTTAGCCTTCTGATGTAATAAATTAGAAAGATTACGAATAATTCAGTGTTACCAATAGATTTTTTGTCACAAACATTTATAGTTACCCAGTATTTAATTAAAAACTAGCCAAAAAAGTATAGAATTAAACCAAAATAACATAGCGTTACCTATTTTTGCATTTTTTGAGCATTTAAGCACATTTTTGAACAAATTTGCAAGATTTGTGTAAAAAGCGTGAATTTTCGACAGTAATAAAAAAATTTAGATCATATAATCTGGTGAAAATAGGTGTAAATCTGGTAACTTTTCATCACTTCCTGTCAAAATTAAAATCGCTAAACACCCATTATTTGGGCGAATAAAGAAAAACGGCGCCTCCAACAAACTCTTTCTTTGCATGACAACATTGTCTGTTATTAACCGTTTAATAAATGACTTGCGAAATGTTTATAATGAGCAGAGCAGTGTTTTTTTCCCCCCTTCAATACATAGTCTAGTACATACATGCAACTTTATGTTATTAAAAGCAATGACTTTAGTTTTTCCTACCCCGTGTAAAAATGCCAAACAATAACTCGTAGGCGCTGCAAGAAAAATCCCTATTATTCCATTCCATAATAGATTATTGTTTGAAATAGCACAGAAACACACCCGCCTTGAGCCATTATCCCATAAATTATATTTGATTAAAAATAGACTTACTCGGTTTGATCCTGATCGGTGGGAAATGATGGATTCGCATTCTCAGGAATTGGACTCGGCTCGGGTTCTTCTTGGACTGGACTTTCAAAAATAAGCGTTTCAACCATGGACCCCTTGGAACTACCAAACGATACCCTGCAAACGTGAGAATTCATTTTAAATAGCGTCCTAATAACCCACTTTCAACGATCGATAAATCGTTATATTTTCATAATTTTCTTGGTCTGCAAATGACATAAAAAAACAAACATTTCTATCAATTCTAACCATAAATAAATAGAAGCAGGTGGTTAAAAATTATTAAACAAAGCGATTATAAATAATCAAACTCATTTTATTGAGTTATTGAGTCGGTGTTTGTATGTTGTTTAGTAAAGTAAAAGAACAGGTGAGATCGGTTATCATTCATCATCGTGAACAGCAGGTTGCTGCTTTCCATGAGAACAATAATCGCAACTTTTATGGGAGGCTAGTTAGTTCTTTGTAATACGAGATTAACAGTTTATTACTCTGTTCTCGTTCAAACAAGTTTGCTAATGAAATTATTTATTCGAAGCGATTTACTCTTATTTATCATCTAAAAGTCAGGTATAAATATTAATAATGTAACATTTTTTTCTCTAGCGAAACGAAAAGATGTAATTTTTTCTTAGCAATGTAACAAAACTTGTGTCATGTAAACGTTTTTTTTTTCAAAAATATCGTTTAATACCTAAAGTTTTTTTTTTTTAATGGAAATGCCAAAGGGAGTTGGCAGTTCCGGTTTTTTGAATTAATTTGAAAACAATGTCATTAAACGTCAACACAAAAAATCGTCGAAGAAAACACCAAAAAAGAACAAATTCGGTACACTAACAGTTTTTAGAAATTTGGAAACGAATAGTTCGCAAGCAGGAAGTTAGAAAAAGGGCCCGTTAAAATGTAGACGCAATTTGCTAAACATTCTCAATTTTTAGAAAAAATTTACAACAATACAAAATATGTCAACTGACATTTTTTATTTTATTACTCTTTTAGTTAGTAAGTATATAATAAATCCAAAAAGAAGAAAATAAAATAAAAAAACTTAAAAAAGTTAGAGAAAGTTTTATACAAAGAGCTTTATATTCTTGTTCTTGCTTTATTTTATAAGGGATGATTGTTTTTTGTTT